AGGAATGCAGAGACCAACTGCCTATAGCTGACAGCTCAGTTCAAAGGAACAGACAAAAGATCTCCCTGAAGCATAAAGTAGCATAGATAAAAATAAATGAAGACCATGACAAGACAAACTCAATTTTCTAGAAATTCTATGTCATCTCCTTAACCACTGATATAGGGCTGGATGTCACATTATAGGGAGAATAAGCATGGTCCTCCTGCAATCAGGTAAAGTGACAAATCTAGGAAATATGCCATTGCACAAAAGGAAAGGAGACTGCACAAATAAGGTTACAGATTTTGCATGTGTTCATGACACATGAATGATGCTAGTTGGTCTTCTCACGTATTATTCTTTATTAGATTGAGAGCAAATGTAAAATCATTCAAGAACAAACTTTGGAAAAATATATTCTGTATTCCTCTCCATTAGCATATTTAAATCTGAACCTAAGTTCAGAAAAATCGTTTGGGTTTTGGGGGTTTTTTTGTTTTGTTTTTTAGCCTTTTTAGTACTTAATCTAGGCCTACTATTTATTCCTTCCTTGGAGTTGCATTACTCAGTTTCCAACATCACATTCATGATGTAACTAGCTTCTTCCTTCACATCACTTTATCACACCTCTTATCATTTTCTGATATAATTTATTTACTCTCATCATTCTGTGACCTTTCTTTTCCTGTTGAGGTAGATGGGTAAACATTTGTCTAAAGCAAAGGGGTTACAACAGCTATTTATTTTCAGGTTAAATTTGGCCACAGTAAAATAAGCACAATAGTTCAAATTCTGTCTCTACTTGCAACTGAACAAAGAAAGCAGGAGATGAAAAGTGAGATTAGAAATGATCCTGATGGCACCAGAGGCTCTCTCATTTAAATTCCGGCATAAAATTAAAATGAAAGATCAAATTATTACTCTATGGGCATGCAAAACATAAATATGATTTGAAATGGAAAATGGGTTTCCTTAAAGCATTAGTTTTAATAGGTTACATAAAATAAGATTGACTAAAGTCAACCAAGTTTCAATTCAATAGGCTTAATAAGGCACTGCCTTAAATCACAATTTACAGTTTAAACAGACAGAAGATTGGGAAAAAAACCCTACTTTTCCCTTTATATTTGTGAAATTTGTGCTACTTGTTATATTGTTTTGAACAAAATGGGTGCTTGAACTCTTAGCTTTAAAAAAACAAACAAGATCATATAGAGGCCACACAAGCAACCACACAGTAATAAGCAACAGGTATATAGGCGCATGCACGCACGCGACACAGAAGAAACAACTTGGATAAGAAAACCAGTTTCTACTTCCAGCTTCCATGGAATAGCCGTAGATATTACAGAGCCAAAAAGGACTATAAAAGCTGCTCTGTGCTCTTACTGAGCACAAATTTCCCCCAAAATGCTTCTGATCAAAACTCAGTCAACAGAGCATACTCAAAACACTTCTACTGTAGGGTCTTGTCCTGGTCTCCTTTAGAGCAGTGAAAACTTTGCCAAGGAATTCTGCAGCATCATCAGGTCTATAGAAGAGTATGCCACAATACATTATACAAAAAGGGACATGTCCATTTGCCAGGTTATTTCACTGGTGTAATACAGCAGTGCCCAACATCCAGTCCGCAAAGCCAAATCATCTGGCCCACACATCTTCCCATAGGTACAGAAAACTGGCAGTGGAGGAGCAGTGGCAGCATTAATAGCCATTCCCCTGCTGCCGAATTTCTGGATCTATGGGGAGACCTGTGGGCTAGATGATGTGGCCAGAGACAACCGTAGGGGGGTGCGGGGCTCGGGGCAAATCAGCCTGTGCAAGGCCCCTGTAACACTGTGATGGGTGGGGCCGCAGCTGCTCCGCTCAGCTCCTGCCTGGCTCCATGGGGCCCCACCAAAGTGTGGGGCCTGGGGCAGCTGCCCCAATTCACCCCCTGACCAAAGGACAGTGCTGGATACGGCTCTCTGTGCACTAGACTGTGTCATGGTGGAGCTGGCATGCAGAGTCACTCCACAACCAGATCCAGTGTACAGGATTAGGCAGGCATGCTGGTTCCCACCCATGGACCAACCCCACACTACATCAGGCCTGTAGACCAATGGCATGCGTGGAATCAGGCCTACAGACTGCTCCTTGGCCTCTCAACTGGCATATGGGGCCGAAAGGTTGAGATCACTGGTATAATATATTCTCCTCCCTTCCAACCACAGTACCGTGTACTTTAATTCACCTGATTTCAGAGGGGTCAAGCTTTGTCAATACTTTGATGAGATACCACCAAGGAACACCTGGCTGTTGAGGAAGTAGGTGGCACTCTTCTCTGCGACTAAATGTACCATCTTGGTACTAGGTGATTCCATTTTCAAGTCAGTCATACAAACGTTGGTTATAAAAATGCAATTGTGTTTTCCTAACATTAGGAATTATTCTAATCTTTCTAAAACTGTGCCTGCAGAATCACTTGGGCATGGTATTCTATATTTCCTGAATACCTGTATTAAGTTGAGTTTCAGCTCAGCGGTGAGTAAAATCATTTTAGGTACAGAACAAGCTTCTGCAACTTTTTGGTATTTTCAGAAATGAAAAAGTGTTAAGTAAGTATAAGATCTTCATAATAAATCATTTAAAAAATTTTAAAATAATATTTTTTTATTTTAAAGTTCTTTATAACAACATTCAGGAATAGGTATCACTTACATTATTCTGCACTGTAATATTCAATACAAAAGTTATTTGGTAATTGTTAGTTCTTTCTTTGTGGCACAAATAACTGTCTTGTGCATATAGTCTAAACCCATTTAAATGTCAGTAAAGTTTGAAAATTACAAACTTGGAACCTGCATACAATTACATACAATACTTACATCAAACTGGGCTAGAACAGTTCCGGTGATTAGCCCCTCTGCTAGCTGAATCATAGATTCCCTCAGAGCATTATCATCTTGATGGATACCATCCAGTGGGGATTTCTCAGGGATGTACTGAAAGTCAGGCTCATTCTCCATCTTCTCCTCTACCACATCATAGACAGCTACAACAAACAAAAACAGGGCGGCTGAGCAAGGCTCTCCCTTGGGTGGTACATGGAATGCTTGTCTATTTACATTTCTCCTGCATCAAAATCTAGGCTAGAGTACCATAATGATTTTCACTTGAACCTGCAACAGCAAGGAAATCTGTAGTCATTATGGTCCACCAAAAAATTAAATGTGCATCATTCCCTTTCCTATCCATACTGCCAAAAATCCAAATTGTAGTTCATATCTTGTCTACTGCAATTTTCTCAATTGCTTCCCTATTTCTGGCATCAAAATGTGAAGAGACTGTAGTAGCTGAGCTTATGTTTTTACTTCGTATTTCATTTAGCATGGGGTTTATTAATGAGGACTTGACTAGCAGACCACTCACTATCTGTACAGAATGCATAGTAGCACAAACAAACATGCACTGTTTGAAAAAACTGGCCATAAAAATGAAGTGGAAGTGCACAGGAGTATATAACGTCTACTTTTAAATGCTTCAATTTAAGTGTTTTTAGTCAAGCTACAATTCTATCCAACATCCCAAGGGATATTACCTTGGAAAATCTGAAAACAAATTCTACAGAATTTATGAAACAGAGAAAATGTATAAAATAATGAAACAGTTTAAATACCCAGAAAGGGAAGTAACATGCATGAATGAATGAACGAACAAATGAATGAATGAACAAGTGAATGAAGCAAAAATCATTTGTCAGTTGGATGAAGAGCTCTAGCAGAATGATTCAGATTAAATCTTATTGTTTCTCATTATACTTCTCTGCTACAAGGCTCTTTATTGTGACTGAGTAGTGGAGCAGAAAAAACCCAGTAGCTGCCTGCTGGCTACATTTCAACAGTATACACTATGAACATACTGTACAAGCTTGTTATTAAAACTACATTTAAGCACTTTTTCTATTAAGCTCCCTCCAAAAGCAACAATACCAACAGTTCTGGGTTCCTTAAAAGAAATCTTAGATCCTTGAACAGGCTCATATTTATCTGGCAATCAAAGACATACAAATTGCTATTTTGGGATACGGGTAAGTAAAAACTGGACTCAATTTGTACTATCAGACAGCCGTTAGTACCAAATGCGACTCAGGAATAAAATATAAGGTTTCATCTCATTTTCTGTCATTTAAATTCATTCTGAACACTGACTATTTTAGGCACAGAGGGTATACTACATACTATTTGTATGTATATATGATGTTGTCTAGTTACAGTCTGAAAAACAGTTTTTTAAAATGGGAGGTCGTTCATCAAGATTATTAGCATTCATATCCCAATACACAAAATTAAGCTTAAAGAAGGGAGGGGGGAGAGCTTTTGTGTTACCCATGCATCACTCACCATTGGGTCGAACAAGGAGCACAAGTTCCCCTGAGTGCCTCTCACAGCTAGCTTTAATAAACATGACAACTTGATCATGGGTATGTTCTGCTATATCCCTGCCATTAATCAGGACAACCTGGTCTCCTTCATTCAAACGAGGGACACAGAGGTCAGCCTGCAACAAAACAAATGAAGGTTTGGGGGTTTTTTTAAACAAAGAGCACTGTAAGGACAAGGCTTTCATATTTTGTTAGTTTAAAGTAACAACTTAAACAAAGTATCCACGCTGAGGAATCTGAACTCTACCAGACAAGTTGCTACAGTGGCCATACTGCATTAAAATGATCCATCGTTACACAAAACAGACGGTGCCTTTCACAGGAATGCTTCAATTCTGAGTTGAGAGGAGACTCGTTTGAGTATCTTTCAGCAGGTGTTACATTCCCCCTTAACACTGTCTGCTGAAGTTGAAAGCTTGGATAAGCTCTTGTGTTTCAATTATATTCTGCATTAGCAGCAGGAAAGCAGGACATGCTTCAATCTCAGAAAGGAAGGAAGCAGCACAGCAAAGCCCTGTCCAATTCAGTTTCGCAAGCATCTACCATATTCATGGTAACAAAAGCATGATGAAGACCAAAAGAAATGCACCAGTAACTCTGGCAAGAACCAAAGTGAAAATACTGATCGTATCGCAGTTTAATCAGGGTCTTTGGCATCCAGCCTCGCTAGATGTTTAATTCATTCATCTAAAATTAGCTACTATACAAATAAAAGAAGATTAATGACAACGAAAACAATTTAAGTCTGTTAACACATACATATAATGTTTTCATTTAAAAAGCAAAAAAAGTAATTCAGCTTAATTTTTTAATGTCGGCAAATATATATCTTCTTCTATTCTAACAGGTGTACAGACAGCATTGAGCTGGCATTAATGTGACTGAATACCAGGTCATTATTTCTGGTAATCAGCTGTCAAAATATTGTGCCTAGTTGAAGACATTATTGGTAGCTACTGAACACCAGAAACAACAACAGAGAATCAGACATGATGAATGATTCATGATGTCTGATTTAATCTAAATCTTGGCATTACTTACAACTGTATCTGTCAGTAAAAACAAAAATGATTTGCAATTTTTAGTTTTACTATAAACCTTGCTTTTATGCTGTAAATCTTCATATAGGATTTATGGGACTAAACTGCATGAATACCTAAATGAAAAATGTGCACTAAAATAAACAAATAAATTACGGTTAAATAAATAAAATGTTTTAAGAATGAACGTGGCGTTCCGAATCAGGGCTCAAGGTGTCGCTCTGACTGGATATTATAAGCCCTTGTAATTATTTCAATATACACTGTTTGTAAACACTGTTTTCCCTCAGATAAACCTAAAAAAATTAAGAAAGCCCAACCACCAGATGCAATGCAAGTAGTTAACTTTTTAGAAAAGTATGTTAGAAAAGCAATCACATTAAAGCAATTTGGGAGACTCCATCTTGTATTTCATTATCCTGCGTATAAAATATCATTACATTTTTGTCTTTCAGTTAGTTAATAAAAGCAAAATACTGTTCAAATTGTCTTTTAAATATATTGCATAGATTTCATAAACATTAGGGATGGAAGGGACCTTGCAAGATCATCTGGCCCAGCCCCCCTGCCCAAGGGGCAGGAAGTCAGTTAGGGTCAAAGGATCCCAGCAAGATAGGCGTCCAAATGTTTCTTGAAAGTGTTCAGAGTAGGTGCTTGCACCACCTCCGGGGGGAGTCTATTCCAGGGCTTGGGGGCTCAGACAGGAAAGAAGTTGTTCCTTATGTCCAGCCTAAAAGAGTCTTGGAGGAGTTTGTGACCGTTGGGCCTTGTCATCCCCTGGGACACTCTAGTAAACAGACGTTCTCCCAGATCCTGATGCACACCCTGATGTACTTATATGCAGCCACCAGGTCCCCGCTGAGCCTGAGCTTCTCCAGGCTGAAGAGTCCCGTGGCTCTTAGCCTCTCTTCATAAAGTCTGTTCTCCCTCCCTCTGATCATGCGCGTGGCTCTCCTCTGGATTCTCTCAAGCTTCTCCACGTTCTTCCTAAATTGTGGAGCCCAGAACTGGATGCAGTACTCCAACTGCAGCCTCACCAACGCAGAGTACAGCAGGAGGATGACATCCTGGGTTTTGCTTGAGATGCATCGGTTGATGCAAGCCAGAGTTTTGTTCGCTTTGCCAGCTGCGGTATTGCATTGGTGGCTCATATTCATCTTGTGATCAATCATGGCCCCCAAGTCTCTTCTGGTCAGGGTGCGAGCGAATGTAGCATCGCTAAGCCTATAAGTGTGATGCGGGGTTTTATTCCTGACGTGGAGAACCTTGCATTTCTCTGTATTGAATGCCATCAGGTTTTCATCCGCCCACCTTGCAAGCCTATTGAAGTCAGCCTGGATCATCAGACTATCCTCAAGTGTGAACACTCTTCCCCAAAGTGGTGTCATCAGCAAACCATTTAAAACTAACATTTACTTACCTGCTGCTTTCATTATATGAAAGACCATTACACCTTCTACACTACTTCTTCATATGAAGCTGTTAAAAGAACAACTGTTAGCTTGGTAGAGCAAATACTATATGAGCAGTTTTATTCCTAGCTGGGTATGAATTCAATATTTTCCATCTAAGGAAAAAAAAAAAAATCAAAGGAAATGACTGAGGATTCCAAATATGTATCTAATTAAACAAATATCACATCAAATTTTTTTTTTTTTGACTACTTACAGGTGTTCCTGGGGCTACTCTTGACACTATTACAGGCATCTTCTGGTCATATCCACCCTTCAAAAGAAAAATTCGGCAAGTTACAAATCATAAAGGTCATGTTTTTCAAGGTTATTCTGTGAAAGTGCACAGATTTGCATTACCTTTACATTGAAGCCAAATCTCCCATTTTCATCTGGTTTCATTCGAATCAGAACAAGATTGTCATGGGGAACACCACCGTTGGGCTAATAGAAAAGGAAGTAGATAATATTATGTGTAATTTATACTTAGCTAATACAGACTTATATTAGACTATATATAAAACCCATACTAATATCACAGCTACTCCAAATTTCCTCATCAAATATCTGATAATTGCCACAAGGGATGTGAGAAAGCAATGGAAACCAGCAAACTGTTCGTTTCTCTCATCCTAGTTGAATTTAAGGGCCCATGAACTAGCCTCAGATGGACTGTGCAGGCAAGCTGGCAAAATAAGGCATTTTTAATTCTATTAGCTTATAGTTCGCAGTCACTTAAGTGTAACTAATATAGCAGGGGTTGGCAACTTTTTTGGGCAGAATGCCAAAAATGCCCATAACCTTGATTTGTAACATGTTGGTGTGCCAGCAGCAGACAGCGGGGAAGCTGCGAGGACCCCGATCCTTGTGTCAGCACAGCCCCGGGACCTTCCGCGAAGAGCGAGTGCCAAGCAAAATGACTCTGCATGCCACGCGTAACAGAGGTTGCCTACCCCTGTATTATAGGTTTCATGCAGAGAAGTAACAAATTTGCCATTACTACTGTAAATAAATTAGTTGCATCTGAGACTGGGCAGGTCATGGTGGAAACTATAGCAGACTAACTGTAATATGGATTTAACAATGGCAGCCATTTCAGTAGGGCACTCCAGGCCCTATTCCTTTTCCAGGCTTCTAGGAACAGTTTGAAATGCTTTACTACACATCTCAAGTTCTGTGTGGCTTGGAATATGCAGATTTGCTCTCCCCACAAATTATCAGACATCCTCCATCCACTACTGCCACAACTCCCTCAACATACTTATGCAATTAAACATACTCCCTTTACCCCCTTCCAGCTCTTTGGGGTGGCGCTGACTTATGCCAAGCATACACAGTAATCTGAGGAAGCTGCAGACAGGCAAATTTTTCAGTGATTTTTTGCCTTCAACAGAATGCCATTTAAACAGCTTTGAATCTGGCTAAAGCAGTGCCTGATGAGATTCACTGTACTTCATAGATGAGGATTCATGTTTGTACAGCATTGATACCAAGAGGTAAACCTTTTAAGAGAGCAACTGTGTCAAGACCATTATAGTCTCATTCTCAAGAGAGAACTGGGATGCGACTTGCTAAAAGCCCCATCTTAATTCCCTGCACAGAACAGTCTTTAGCCCTGCATGGCTCAGGAGGCAAACGTCTGCAGATGGTAGTTCCTTCCAGGGACTGCATCGCTTAAACCTCAACGTAACCCACAAAGCCAGCCACCCTTACTCTGTACAAAGCTCTTGCTTCCAGAAAATATTTATGGCGAAGAGGAAGAAGAAACTATGCGAGACAAACTGACAACAAAGCGGGAGCTCTATGAGTTTCCCAGTTATGCATTTTAACCAGTGCTGGCTGAACACTGGAAGAATGGGGTAAGACTCACGAATAGAAATGTCAGCCCAATGCTGCATCAACTGCAGATGGTTTTAGGCTTGATGTAAATATTCTGTACTGCAAAGTATTGTAAAGAAGAAAGAGCTAATTTACAATTAAAGCTCCAAGGGAATCCTGTATGCCTTCTCCAACCACACTTGCCCTACATATTGGTAAGCACACCTATAGCCATAGGCTTTTAAACTGAAGTAATTCTCAGAGTGGGTTTTTAAGATGCTGTGGATGGAGTAAAAGTCATTGTTTGAATATATGTCCCAAAGACTTCCTAAGTATATCTATTATGCATAAAAAACTTCAAATGAGTTTAGATCAATTGAAGAGGTAGAAATGTTGGGGATTTTTCTTTAAAATAATATTCTGATGTGCAACAGAAGAGAAATAATGTAGTTGCTTGAAAATTAATTTAAAGTGGTAGTCTACTTGGAAAAGCTCCTCTCCAAAAAACATCCTGAAGTTCTGGGTTTATTGTGGCTTGAAGATTTTGATGTCATGCACTCAGGTTTACAAGTGGAAAAATAATACAACTCCAACCCTGCAAATTCAACTCAAAGTTTGAGCGCTATATTGTGTTTCTTCCTCTTTCAAAGTACCCAAAATAAAAGCACTTGTTAGAACAAAGCTGACTTTCAGTTACAATTCTGTATTGCTTTTTGAGAGTTTGCACACATGTAACTCACTGGAATTCAACAGACAATTAGGTTGACAATGCACAAGAAGGAAGAGAATACAGCTCATTCCAACACAGGTGAGTTGGCTCTGAAGGGCTGTTAAGAGGAGTTAAAAAAACCCAACCTAAATGGTATTTTTGACACAAGTAAACATGACTGAACACATATCAGGAAAAGCTCTGTTGAGTAAAGCATCGTTTTTCAGAGCTGTACTACACTTTTAAGTCACTTAGCTTACTGAAGACAAAGAGAACTTTTATTTTACGTTTTAATTAAATAAAATGCATTCTCAAAAATGTTCCAACATTTCATGCTTCACTTAAAGGCTCATCCTCTTTCATTCACGGAAAACTTCCAGCCCTCATGGTTGCAGGTAAAATATTTAAAATGTGACCTGAACACACCCCAGAAGTTCAAAATCCAGTAAGTACATAACAACAACCCAAATTTATTTTTAAAATCTCCACTTTGGGGAGCATGATTTGTAATTTTATGAATGTCTGAGATTGGCAGTCTTGTTTATATAGTATTTCATAGAAGTAGGAATAAAACAATTCTCCCATCCTCCAAAAGTTTTCATTTCCCACATAAGGATAAAACGAAGAATATCTTAATTTGACATCTACCCATTTGGAACAGCCAAATGATTATGGGCGCTTCTGCCCAATTGTGAGTGCAGACTTAAACCTGGATAACTTAACCACCAAACTACTAGACATCCTTGCATAGATCTCTCCCTAGATTTGACTAGGAGTTCCATCCTGGACCTGAGAAGTATTACTTGATGAAATTTTCATCAAAACCAGTGCACTGCATGGAAGATCTTGATTTTGAAGCAGTAGCATTTACTGACCAATTGCTGCTAAGAATTCCTGACTAGCTCTAACAGTTACTGTATTTTCTCACATACATGCATATGGAGACTACTTGGCTCTTTTCAATATCAAAGATCAACCCATGGAAACCAGTATTCAGGAGCAGCTCAGATTTCAGCTTTAGTTAAGCAGGAAAAGGTAGGCGAGTCAACTGAAGATTAGGCTCTGTCCTTGTTATGTGCAGCCATAACTCTGAAAAAAATCTTTTTTCTTCTTCATCTGCCTTTTAAAAACAAGGTTGTATTATATTCTAGGATGTATATATGCAAGAAAATATGGTCTCTCTCTTCTTTTAAATCTCTGGGGCAAATTTATTACCAGTGCATAAGATAAAAGATTAAACATTAAGATAAAAGATTCAAGATAAAAGTGGGAGGTACATAAGATGCACTTTCAAGGAAGGGTCCCATAGGGTTTAAGAATATCCCCAAAAAGTCTTTGTATGCTTACTCAAATATTCAATTTGGTGAAACTGCCATGAGGAAAGTGGGATGTTTTGGCAGTTCGGGTAGGTGAAAATGTATGTCTGATCAAAATGGCTTCAATGTAATGCAAGAATACAAGCACCGTCACTGAAAGTAATTACTTCGCTAGAAAAGCAGGAGGAAATCATTCAGAGGAAAAACAAGTTGATCCAACAGCTTACTGTGGATTTTTCAGGCGATGTGGGAACATCAAATGTTTCATTAATATGGTTATCCAGGTCTTGCTGGGAATGAGAATGATGAATTTGGTTCCAACTGTTCTTTTTCGATTGTTTGGGTGGTAATGCAGGTGGCTGCCCATCTACAGGGGTCTCCTGGGATCTAGACAGAAGGGTGAAAGTAGAAAACAAGTTATATTTTGAAAATTATGAATAAGATCCCAAAGCAAATTAAACAAATGGTTATGTAACTCCAGACAGAGAGAGTGAAAAAAAATCTGCCGTTTTCTTTTTCATTCAGAACATTTGTGTAATTTCAACAATTCAAATTGTGCATTTAATTGAAACAGAAAATACTGAAGTGTATGGTTTCTAAAAAGGAATGGCAAACATTCAAGGCATCGTTAAGCTAAATTCTTGTCCACTGCATTGTTTCTTTTGACCTTGCTTACTCTTTTTCAGCCATTTAATCGTTTGAGATTATTTTTATAAATCTCAAGTTCCTAGCAATAAATTTACTTCCAAAACAAATACCTATAATTTTATTTATTTAATTAATTTTTATATATATATTTTTTTTTTACCAAAAAGAAAAGCAATTAGCTCCCACCTTAGATTAAGATTAGCCACCTGCCTGCACGTGATACATCCCTTACTCCCGCAGAGCAGCAGCAGTTTCTGCCCTGGCGCACCAGGCCGCTCTCTGCCCCCCTACCAGACTCCAAACTTAGACTTTTGACCAACTGGCCCAGACTGGCCTCCAGCATCTGGAAGTGTCCCAGCCAACCCAGGACGTTTGGTCACCCTGATTTTGCAGCTAATTTTTACCAAAAGTACCTCAAAAAAAGAATAGTTCTAACAAAATTTGTATTTATGAAATGACATGTGTGCTTGCTAGACCTGAAACCATGGTGCTCAAAATGAATCAATATACACATTTATCTCTTCTTCTCGATTAACAACTCAACTACATACTTTTCTACTTACATTAATACACAACTCAGTTGTACAGTAAGACTTTACACTTACAAATTAAAGGGATAATTTTCACAGGTATGAAGGGGTAGTTTAGTGTTTAAATCCCATGACTGACAGTAATCTCCTAAACACTAACAAAAGGTAGCCCTCCTTGCTGCCAACCACATGAACCTCTTTTTATTAAACACCCACCTACTTCCTAGATGATTCAGATGGAACAGCATAACCAATAATCATTAAAAAAAACAACTCACAAGAGCATCAGTAACTTTCCTCAGGTAAATTAGTCCCTCTGACTTCTCTTGTTCTGTTCACACAATTAACTGTTAGCAGAATACAGCTCTTATGAGACATTATAGAAGTTCAGCTCAATGCAAGACCTAGCCTCCCTGGGGCAGCCACATGTCTAATTCAATACAGTACAATTTGTTATTTTCTAGTTATTAAAACAGAAAGCATCACAAAGCTATGGTCATGTTATAGAAAGAAAAGAATATGGCTGTAGTAGCATGAAATATTGTGGGTAACATTAAATGAGGAAATCTATCAAATATAGAATATTTTCTGATAAACAGTGTTTTTTAAACCACAAAGACAATGTCTTTCCACATGAAGGAAGATGAGGATGGCAATGTTTCACTGAAAAAAGTATGTACTTTTCTCCTTCAGGTTTTCATACAATCTAGTAAGTCTCCCTCATTTATTAGAAACAACCTATGTAATCATGTAAACAGACATAACTGCAGATTTGTGTGTTATTTCTCGATTTAAAAAAGGAGCTTATACCTATTTATAAATTTTGACAGACGGTCTCAATTTCCAAATTTTCGCTAATTAAAATTTTTACATCAACAGATGATGGGAAAAAAATGTTCATGCTTCTTCTCTCGCATACTTCATTCCCACCTCTACACATCATTAATGTGGTGGAGCCACACAACTACTTTATTGTTGACCCTTGCCAGGTCTTCATCCTGGGTGTGCTGCACATGGGAGGAGGCAGTCCAAGAACATTGGACTGTTCTTTAAGCCAATCATATAGAGCGTGGCATTGAAGTGACCAGCTTTAACATGAATCCTGTCTAGATTATTTCATAAATTGTGGGGGAGCTTGCACCTGGGTGGACAGGGCGTTGTGCTGGGTTGCTTATGAAGCACTTGAGATGGGACTCAGTCACATCCTCCTTTTTGTGGGTTTTTTTCAGGTGCCCATAGGGCACTGCTCCCACCTCCACACTGTTCCAACAGTAGCCACGTCTCCTGACTAAATGACTTCCTTGACTTCGGTTGTTTATGTACTGGTTGCTCCAAAACTTCATGAACCAAGTGCTCCTGGTTTTGTTGGGCACGCTGAGCAAGGCCAAGGCCAAATATTCAAGCTAATATTTAAAAATGGAATAACGGATGGTTATAACAAGGTGAGAGTCATATAGAATAGGAACTAAAATAATGTTTAATAAACATTTCTCATAATATTTTCTACACAGAACAGACAATAAAGAGTCATGTTAGCTTCAAACGAGCACAACAGAAACAGATTTTCAATAGTTTTCTAGACAGAGAAAGACTGATATTACTAACATTTACCAATTAATTCCCAGCACAACTGTAAGTTATTTAGGCACTGGCCTATTAATGTCACCTAGGGCTTTTTAACTGCCTGAATATTTATTCATTTAAGAATCTGGCTAAAGTTGACGCACCTTTTAAAAAGTGATGGGTAGGATAATAGTAGGTTTTTCCTGTGAATTTTAACTTCTTAAAGATTGAAAAAAGTTTAAAAAAAAAAGAGACACAACAAATAAGCATTTCCGAAAACAAAGAAAAACGGTGGTTTAAGGTTTGGCTTCATTTGTGCATGTGCGTCTTAACTTGAGAAATCTCTGTGGAACATATAAAGCTAATAGTAAACATTTGAAAAAGTTACTTAATTGAACACTTTGGTAGTAGCAATGCAACTTGCTGTAATATATTAGCGTAAAGAATTGTGAGAACTAACAATCCAGCCTTGGGCAAAAACTTCACTGCTTTATATTTGCCCAGTCAGCTTTAAATTTCCTTATGAATGCTTAGACAATGGCAGTGAAAGCAGCCTATTTTACAGTCAAAGCAGCTCTGTGTTGGTACATTCAGCAATTTACATAATAATAAAATAAAACAAAAAAACTCCACAGTGACAAGCTTTGTGTGGTTTTGTTAGATATCAGGTCGGTCTTCTAATACGTTAACAGAAATAGTTTCATATTTGTGGTATAAATGTATTAAAATAAACATCTATCACCTATTTTAAGAATTAACTTAGACTGTTTTTAATTATCTTACTAAATTGCAGGCAGGAACATCCAGATTAACTGAAATAGCAGGAGAAATCTAAGCACAAACAACAATATTTAATGCTTGCTCTGGTCTCAGTATAATTCACTATTATTTAGAAGGGTTCAACATAAACATATTTATTCAGGGAAAATTTGGATACATTTCTACAACAGCCCTGTCTCTTGAAAAAGAGAAATTATATTCCACATTAATTCTGTCAACAAACCTAGCTTTAAGCATAAGTTTTTTTCAAAAGTAAAAGTTTCCAGAATCTTAAATGTAATATTTTAAAGTTAGTTACCCAGGACTCTAATTTGACTTGATAATCTAGTTGTTTTGCTATGAACTGAATTCAGACTTTACCCCAAATATGTGAGGTTTTAGACACTGATAATTTACCATCTTAATCCTTATGAGTCAAATTTAATTTTATTTAAAGACTTCTCACCACAAAGGCACACTGAGATGCACTTTATGCACAGTTCTGACAAGAAGCAAATCTGTTGTACTGAATTACTTTTGTTGCAAATATTCCATAATTAAAAAAAAAAAAAAAGAAACAACAGCATTACTATTCCTACTACTTTTTAAACCTTAAAACAGCAGAAAGAAAAAGGAGCAAATGTTTCTGGCACTGAAAAGTATATTAAATTAAAATGAAATGCATTATTCTACAATAGTTAGAATAAAATGTGCAATAAGTATTTAACCACTGTATTATTGTTCATTCCCTCTTGCCTAAAAAGCGTTCATGGTTTACAGTGCAAAGGACATTAAAAAAATAGAGATACTGAAAAAGCACGTGCTTCTTGTACATATTTAATGGATCAAGTAAGTGCTCGGCAACATAGTACCCAGACTTGTTAGTACACAGTAGTTTAAAGCATATTTTCTGACCCCAGATTCCTTATAACATTCTATATTCTGGTTCCTCTGGAAGTTACCAGATATTGATTTGATCACAATTCACCTGAGATTGTCAAAGGAGCAGGAGCAGAGCTAAATTTTTTTAAAGTACCTGAATACTTAGTAACCACTGTGCCATTTTAAAAAATGTTCAGTCTGTCTATTTCTAGAACCCAAAACCTAATTTTACCATCATAGCAATTTATAATATTTATTTATTTATTTTTGGCTTCCCTGCCTGTTGACAAAAATACCAATTAAAAAGTTTTAAACACCTCCAAAACATTTCAAAGGGCCAGCTGGACAAATGTACATTAACAAAGGTGGCTGAGACTCCAAGACAGCACCTCTTTCAATGAAGTACTACTCTGGAGCACTTTACTTTTTTTTTATGTTTGCCTGGGGGAGGTGGACAGGGTGGACAGGGAGGGGAGTGGGTAGGTAGCCTACCTGCTGTCCAGCTGCCAGGTCCTGCCTGCTCTAGGTCCCAGGGAGTGAGCATCCACCACCTGCCTGTTCATCTCTGTTCTGGGATCTTTGCTTTCCCATCCCCTCCATCTTCTATCCCTCTGAGGGTGGCAGAGGGGGTTGCTGCAAGTGAAGGTCACTTCAGCTTGCTCTAATGCCCACTGGCGGGTGCTAAAGGTGGCAGAGTTTTAAAACATTCCAGCTGGGGAATGGGACAGTGGGGGCCTATGCATAGGCTCCGACTAAAACATTTACAAGCATGTTTCACTTAGAAACATTTCAACTGCTATATCTGGAGGCACCATGTTCTCTTGCATCCAATCCCTCCTTTACTCCATGCCATGCTTTATGCAATGAACACCTTTACCTGTACCAAGCTACAAAGCCACAAACCCTCTCTTCTCTTGAGTCTTTTCAAATCTTGCTATTGTGATGACCTTAACAAAAAACTCCGCTATTTAATACCTCTACTACTTAATGGAAAGACAAAGTGGAAAGTGGGAAAAGTCAATACTCACAATACTACCAACCTAAAACTAGAGAGCAAATGTACTGAAAAAACGTACAAAAATGTAGGCATTTCATTGCCTCACTCTCCACTACCCTTAGTTTGCTGCCCATCATCAGACTATGAAATGCTCCCAAGCAGGAGGCACATCTACCACTGCACAGCACCTACTGTCAGGGAGTCCTAATACGTCACTCCATTAGATATGCATCACACTTCAAAACCTTGATATTTTTAGATGTTACTGAACTGACCTTACTATTCCAACGAGTCTGAAAATGAGAGTTTTATGTTATAGGACAGGAGATTCCCAGCAGCTATTCTAACCCTGAAAGTGCAAGACATCTCATAAAAAAAGATGAGAAAAATTGTGTCTTAGAAAGGGCTTATGTCACATTAAAGGATTTTTTAAATGTATTAATTCCTTACTGCAAAACAGTCTGGCACAGTTGGGCTACATAAGGAGAGGAGATAAAAAAAGAGAGCCCAAGTAAAACCATAACAACTTTCTGAAGCGTTTTTTCTGAAATATAAAACATACATGAAAGACAATGATATGGGGATGATCTGCATAATTTGCCCATTGAGATCATCTCAAACCGGGGTCATTTGAGCCCAGTTTTCCTCCTGCCCAGGCAGGGGGTCGGACTTGAAGATCTACAAGGTCCCTTCCGACCCTACTTCTATGATTCTATGAAACTTATTCTAATGACATTTTCACGCTACATCACCAAGTTTTCAATGTATCTACATAGAAACAGATTAGGTGGTGGCTGAGTGATAAAAATGCATATTATGGACTTCTTATCACTTCACCCGAGTTCTGCCTACTCATCCACTTCCAACAGAATTTCTAACGTTTCAAATTTATGAGCAACTTAAAATAATCTCACTTTCAAATAAACCTATCACATATTTTAACATGTTCCTACAAACATGGAATCCCAACCAAAAAGATATTGCCTTGGATTCAACATAAATAATTTTATGCCCATCACTACTCCAGAATTAACTTTGTTAACCAGTGACCCTACAAAGGTAGAAACGTAGAGATTATACTTGTGAAAAGGAAGATTCTTGCATCTAGAAAAACTACCGTTTTTCTGATTTTAGATATTATTTTTAGTTTCCCTTCTTTGTAAAAATCTTGAATAACTGGATCCACTGTACTAGGAATGCTCAGCTTTACAGGGAGAGTGATAATGAAAATTGTTTTAAAGTTTGAGGATTTTTCAAGTCCCCCCTCCCCTCCCCTTAACTATGTGGCATATACAGAATATAGATTAGAGTGATAGAAAGCTTCTGTTGCAACTCATTCTGAATGATTCATGTAACACATTTTAACTTTTGTTCCTAGACAGTAATACCAATACAGTCTTAATAACCATTTCTCAAAATGACATTCTCTCTCATGCTAAGAATAGATGCCAGATTTCTTCTGGGACAAAGCCTTTTATTCTGGGATCCTACAGACCTACATTCCCATCATTTCACTTTAAGTACCTGTGAAGTATTTGAGATACCCTCCTCTCTTTTCCCCCCTCACTTGTTTTGATGCAAATGAAAGCTCAGGACAATCAGACCCAGGATAAACCAGACATCCGTTTTTACTCCCAGAAAATAATTCTTGCTTACACACTCAGAAGACATTTATACATGTGTCTGGGAGGTGTCACGGGGGGGGGGGGGGGGGCATGGCAGCAGCTTTAATTAGAGCAGTTCCAAGAGCCGCTCTAATTAAAGAGCCTGGAGCATCAAGTGCATCAACGTCCCTGTGCTGAAAAATAGTGGTGGGGGCGCTTTAACTAAAGCTTAGCGAACAAGCTTTAAAGTGCCCCTGCTGCCATTTTTCAGAGTGGGGACACTGATGCACGTGACAATGGAATCTGCTGGAACACAGTAATAATCATGCTCCAGCAGTCTTGATTAATCTGCTCTGACGCACGATTAATCTGAGCCTACTGTGATACACTGTAACTACAGAGCATTGGAGCAGCCTTGCTGCACGTGTGTGGGCACCAAGAATGGCAGTCATGTAACCCCCATCAGGCTCTTATTTTGGTAACATTTTTCTCTCTCGTGGGGTCTGTTAGGTAATGTCCTCTAAAATCTATTATCTGCAAGTAAGTTTTCTGGGTCTAGTTTTACTGATAAAAATTACAAGAAGTTAGTATACTGTTCAAGGGAGAGACTACAAATATTGGAGCCCCTGGAAGTTACAAAACTATAATGATTAGTCAAACTTACGGCGATGACTCTAGGATGATGCTGTTCGCCTGCGTGGAAGATGGAGATCTGTGATTTGCAAAAACTTCACTTGGTGAGCTGTGAACTACATGGTCCACTAAGTGTCCAACTGAAGATGGTCGTAAACGGGTTCCCTCTTGAGTGAAAGCAGAGTTGCGACTAAATGGGGGGGAAAAAAGTCAAGTAGTTGGAAAAAATCAAAAAAATGCAAAAACATTTAATTTCCCCTTTTTAAAAAAAATAATCGAGTTGCCTTCTAAATGTAAGCATATGATCCTATAAATAATTTTAAACCACTCAATAGTGAATTCTCATTCTATTAAGAGATCCTTTTCTCAAACCTTTAAGTTAAAGTTTTAAAAATTTATTAAAACAATAATAGAATCAGATAAGTTAGCTATTATTCATATGTACTGCATACGTTCCAAAAATCCTTTTGTCATAAATACTAAAGGTCATTCATATAATAGTTCTAGGAAAGAATAAATAAATTGCACTTTAAGTGCTACAGTCCAATGGGTGGGTCACTGGACAGTCAGGAAGACCTGGGGTAAAATTCTGCCCCTACTGAAGTCAATAGCAACCGTCCAATGAGCTCAAAAGAGTCAGGATTGCAGGTCTAGAATTCTATTTCTAGCTGAGTCATGAACCTTGTTGCGGGACGCATTTCATTTCTATCTCAGTCTACTTCTGAATATATGGCAGTTGCTTTCATTTTCATACACAGAGTTCATAGCTTTAAAAAAAATGCTATTTAAGGTGTAAGGCATTATTATTCAACCCATAAAATCTCAACTCTAGGTTATGTCATATATTAACATAACGTTCACTGGAATAACTGTTCTGAGGACAAAAGAATCAGACATCATCACCCCTTATGCAATAATGAACTAGAAGGTTCTAACTCAGAATCTGTTTCAATACAATGAAAGAATCATTTTGTTATTTTATAGCAGAAAGGCAAGAATGCTTTTCATTAAATCATAACCATACCAAAAGTACTTTATGATCTTTTAAGGAGTAAGGTTTGCAAAGAACAAGAGGACTAAGCCAAAGAACCCCCACAAGCATTTTCTGATGTCTGTCACCGTGTCATTTTCCTGGAAGATCTTTTAACAGAAGTTCTGCATTATGCAGTCAAAATGTTAAAAAGCTACTGCAATTTAAGCACCTAATATTACACTTCCTATAATGCTGCATATTTCTGAGATGTACTCGGAATGATTATCGGTAACATTAAGTTTACAGTTCTAAATAAAGGAAGATAAAAAAGCCTGTTTGTTGAAATTACCGTGAAACTGAAATAGATTTATTTTGCTAAAGAATTAATTAAACAAATGAGTTTATTTATAAATAAGGATGGACAGACATGCTTGTGAGAGCACATCATTCTACTTACTGATTTGGGGTTCCAGGTGGAGATCGTGATGGTAGGCTCTGAGTTTCTAACCTGTCATCTGACAGTGAATTTCTACTTACTACCTCCCAGTCCATTCCACTCATCAATTTCCGTGCCAATGGTTTACTTGGGGACCTAAAAGAACAAATGAAAATAATTTACCCTAAAATACGATTATTTATATAAAGCTATTAGACTAAATTAGGAGCCCCCCTCCACAAGAGAGGAAGGACACGACTGAGGTAGAGCACTGGTGACTATCTATCATAATGAAGAAAGCCAAGTTAAGAAAATAAAATCTGCTGTGTAAAAACCTAGATAGGAATATCAGTACTAAAAATCTCCTAAAAGAACAGCTATAGCCTTTAATATAGAGATGGAGTTGGAAATTGGTATACAAGTCTGGATTCTTCCAGTGTCACCTCTCAAAGAAAGATGCGATGTATTTCTGCTCCTGAGATAAGTTTCAACACAAAAAGGCAGGTACAGAACCATTAGAAGCAAAAAGCTGATGAGCTAAAAGTGCAAGGACTCCCTCTCTTCACTTTCTTGCTTTCCAGTAAGGGTAAAAGATTAGATTCCAATATGAAATTGCATAAATACTCTAATTTGTCCTGCCTGTTTTCTTTTCTACCTTACTGACTGTCTTAAGACTTCTTATAAGCCTCTCAAAACTTATCAAGTACCAACCTAAAATAAGTTAGCTCTTTGCCTTATTGCTCCCGTTGGAAGGCCAAGTCGGAATCTCCTTCCCCCCTGTATGTAGTTAGGAACCTGATTTCCAGTCTAAATTTATTCGTAGTCAATTTATACTTTTTTGTTCCTGTGCCAACACGGTCCTTTAGCTTAAGTTGTTCTTCTCCCTCCTGGATGTATTTATATAAAAAGCATCATATCTCATCTATCTTCATTTATCATATCTTAACGATCTTCATTTCGCCAGGTTAAGCCGGCCAACCTCTTTTAGTAAAATGGATTCTCCATTTTCCTGACCATCCTACTCTACTTAGCATCTGTTCCAGTTCAAATTCATCTTTCTTGAACAGGGGTGACCAGAATAGTATGCAGTATTCCCTTTCTGTACTGGAAATATCCTGTCCAATACATTTATGATAGTTTTTGCCCTTTTTGTGACCATAACATATAGGTAGCTTGTAGTCACTCGCAGACACTAATATACCCAGATCTTTTTTCATCTGTCCTTTCCAACTGATGAACCTTGACCTGATAGCAGGAATTCTTCTTAGTAGTCCCTAAGCACACGATCTGGCACTTGTGACACCAAATATCATCTTTTTTTTTTTTCCCTTATACCACTCCTCCCAAAGTCATTCAGTTCCTCCTGTACCTTATTCTGATTCTCCTTTGTTTTGGTGATGCCTCACAATTCTGTCATCACCTGGCTTCATTTTATGCCATGGTTATTTCATATCTCTTCCCCATTATCTCCCTGCACTTAAGTATTCTTTGCTCCAAATTTGTTTTAGAGCCTTGAAAACTACTGAGGTGAAACTTAACAGGCTTTCAGTTGCCCAGATCACACTTCCTCTTTTTAAAAATAGAGACATGTCTTCTTCTCCAGTAGAAGTGTTACTCCCGCTTGATAGATTTATTAAAATTCCTTGTCATCAGACTCGCAATTTTGTGTGCCAGTTTTTTCAGCATTTTAGAACCAAGATTATTTTGCCCCTTGGTTTGTACCTAGCAACTCCTCTGAAGTTTGCCCCAATCTCATATGTGGCAACTGCCAATGCTACATTCTCCATCCCAGTGGCCACCATGCTATTGCCCTATAACTCTAATATAATAAAAGCTGTAGTGCATCCGTCTGTGCGTCTGTCCGTCCATAACACTCCGGGCCAACTGCATATGTGCCACCCAGAGCCTGACGGACAGACAGACATACAGGTGGAGGCAGTTGGGGCCAGGGTGTGCTCCCCACTGAGGGGGGACTGGCCCCAGGGTGTGGTGCAGGGCGTATGGCCATGTGGGGGGGCGTGGCACGTGGCACACGAGGGGCATGGCGCATGGCTGCAGAGTGCTGTGCAGGGAGCGGGCAGTGCGTGCTGGCTGCAGCACACTGCCATGGGGCCCGAGTGTGCCCCCCCGCACCCGCTCCCTGTGTAGCACCCCACAGCTTCACGCCATGCCCCCTCCCCCGGGCTGGGAGCATGCACCAGGTGCAGCTGTGGGGCGCACAGGGTGGGGATGTGGTGTGTAGCCACACCATGCCGCGAGGGAAGTGGGCACATGGGGGGTGGGCAGCGCCTGCCAGTCGTAGCATGCGGCTGTGGAGTGGGGTGCGCCCCCCGCACAGCCACGCACCATGCCCCTTCACGCACACAGGCGGTGGGCAGGGTGAGGCTGGACCTGAAGCAGCATGGGGAGGGCACT